GGGAGGGGGAGTCTGGAGCTGTTCTTTCAAAGCACGGCATGTTTCCACTCCACACTCTTTTTGCAGGTCAGTCAGAACCCGAGGCACAAATTTCACAGTGACCCTTCTCATTCCTAAATCTTCTGTTAAAATGTGCTGAACTGAGCTCCTGGATAGTCTAGATAACATCCCCATCTCTCCAATGGTCCATCGTTGTCGGTCTTTGAGCACAAGTGCACAAATTTGGTCCACACATTGTCTTCTGTTTGAGAAGTTGACGGATGTCCAGAACTAGGTTTGTCATCAATCAACATTTCACCTTTTTTGAAATGAGAAAACCACTTGTACACTGGGTTTTTCCCATAGCGCTGTCCTTGTAAGCTGTGTTCAACATCACAACAGTTTCCGAGGCATTTTTCCCAAGCTGGAAACAAAATTTCACAGCCAATGCTATTTTCTTAAATCGACCATCACAAAAAAGGAGGTTCAAGAGAAACCACTTTTACAAAAAACTTCACTGTGACTAAAGAGAACATTCCCAGGAGACACCACTGGGTGCACTAATTCCGAGTGAGTTGCTTGATGCTCGTCTAGCAGGAAAAATGTGTACTATGAAAGCTCCGCCTGGCGGGCGAGTACCCCCTCATATAACTAGTAATAGTTCTTTCAATAATTCACACACATTGTTTCGTTTCATTCACTGAAATCCCCATACTGTAACATCACCTATCCCTCTCCTCGACTGTGTCTCTTGTTCCCAGTCTTCCTTCTTTCCTAACCCTTACATACTTTGTCCTTGGGTAAATACTGCCTTTAAAAAATCTCAAATGGTTGATTATTCTAAGGTGTGTATACCTTCCTAGCGCTACTGCTCCCCTTCCATATGTATTTCATAAACAAAAAACAACCAACCCTGAAACCACTGCCATCAAATCTATTTTGGCTCACAGCGACTCTATAAGGCATAGTAGAACTTTCTCTTGTGGGTTTCTGAGACTATAAATCTTTATGGGATGAAAAAGTCTCATCTTTCTCTCATAGAGCAGGTGGTGGTTTTGAACTACTGACCTTTCAGTTAGCAGCCCCAAACTACATCACCAGCATTCCTGTTCCCTTATTGTTTTGACTGAAAACTGAGCCATAGGGGGTGAGTTAATTTTCAGACCAGAAGGGTGACTTAAAGCCATAGTTTTGGAAGTTCTCTCTCTACCTGGGCAGTAGGCCTGGTCTTTTAAATTTTCTCACACTCTACTTAGGGCTTTCTAATGTGATCCTTTTTAGAGCAGCGGGTAATGGAAGCCATGGACCATGGAGTTCTTTTCTCAGGTCCTAGAAGCTGAATTGCATAGGACATTGGACTACTTGCCTCCATGTGTCTTTGATTTTCTTCACTTTCTTTCAGACAGGGAGAGATCAATAGTTTTCACCATGCATGGTTGCTCATGAGCTTTGAAGATCCCCGGTGTAACTCACAGGATATAGATGCACTGCGCTATGCGACTTGCCCTTGGGAGTCCCCTGAGACCACAGACCTGAGCCCCCTAGGCACAGTGTAAAGTACGGTGATTTAATCACATTTTATAAAACCTTAAAAGTGCAGCAATTTAATACAACCCAGCTGAAATGAACACCTACTGCCACAATATAAAAAGTATATACTATAATTGTTTACTATTTTCTTACATATAGTCACAAATCACACTACATATATAAAACCTGGTACCTTTACATGAGCCATTAGGTTTATCCTATATAAAAACGTGGGAGAAAGAAAAGTGAAAACTGATATCTGCCTTTTTTTCTTTTGCTAAAAAAAATATTTAAACCCAACATAAGCAAGCATTCTTAATAAAATTTCAGAAGTTTTCAACATGCTTGGGTTATTTTTTATTGGCAGGGTGCTCCAGAGGATGAAGAGTTTGTGCTCACAGGTACCCTACTTCCACAGAGCACAAGGCATGGGTGGTTATATCAACTCGAGTAGAAAGGAATAGTGGTATTTGGGAGAATGAAGGAGAAACTGACAGGGATGGTTATGTTCTTAAAGAAAGATTCTAAGCAAAGAGTTCAAGGGAAACCATGATTTTGACTCTCCTGCCCTTCTAGGATCTCAGACACCCACAGGGTGTCGCTACGAGTCAGAATTCACTCAATTGCAGTGAGGAGTTTGGTTTTTTGAGTCTACTCCCCAAAGAATAAGGCTAAAAATAGTTTTTCATTAATGATTAACAATAAAATATTTCTACTCTTGTTTTCTTTTTGCCAGACGACCTGGTCACGGAGGTCATCACTGTCGTCATCACTAAGGGCTTAAGTACGAGGCAAATGCTTCTATACATATTTAATTCAACGCGATTTACTCTTCACCACAGCTTTGCTCATTAACACCACACCTGCTGCTATTGAGTTGATTCCAACTCAGAGCCCCCTGCACATCTTGGAGAAGTTGGTAGGTTTGAACTACCAACCTTGTTGTTAGCAATCCAATGTCTAACTCATAGTACCAAGAGAGCTCCACTAATTCAGTCCTATTGTTGAACCTCTAGCAATGAGGA